GTGTGTGTGTGTGTGTGTGTGTGTGTGTCTCGCTCTGCCACCCCCCCACCCACTCCTATATGGGGCTGGGGACCTTGTGAGGCCAGCCAGTCGCCCCTCCCAGGCGCGGCGGGAAGAAAGCTCTCCTCAGGTCCGCCTCGGGGCTTGGCTCCGCCTGGGGGGGGGGGGGGGATGTCTGTGAAGGAGGGGAAAGCGGGAGAGAAGGGGATCATTGCAAATCCCCCCCCCCACAAGGGGTCTGTGAGGAAGGGGTGAGGGGCCCATTGCCCTTGGGGTCTGTGAGGGAGGGGAAGCGGGAGGGGATCATTGCACACACACACACACACACACCCAAGGTGATTGTGAGGAAGGGGAGAGGAAAGAGGGAGAGGGGATCATTGCGCCCCTCCCTCCTCACAGTGTCTGGGGTGTCCCTCTCCATTGAGGGATGGAGAAAAAGTAGCTTGGGGGGTCCATTTCCTGGTAGGGAGGGTTCCCATTGAGAGATGGGGGTGGGGAACCCAGGGGTCACAGTGTATAAGTAGAAAAGGAGGCTGGGCACTTTGAGGGGGTGTGCAGAATAGGCAGGGAGGGGTGCTTGCTAGGGGATGGGGGCTGAGTGGTGTCTGGAGGAAGGGGGGAGAAGGGATGACTGCCCCCTCTCAAAGTGTCTAGGGGGTCCATCTTCTGGGCCCATTTGGAGATGGCACCCATCGTGGGATGGGGGGGGGGGGGGGGGGGCCCTTGGGGGGGGAAAAGTAGAAAAGGGGGGTGCGGGGGTGACTGAGCCTGGTTTGAGAGGCCTGGTTTGACACCTCCAAAGGAAGGAGGGATTTCAGGGGAGTGAGACTGTCTTTGAGGGGGGGGTTGAGGGAGTCATTGCCCCCTTCACAGTGTTTTGTGGCCCGTTTCTTGGTGGAGAGGATTCCCATTGTGAGGTGGGGGGGGGAAGAGGGGTCACTTGGGGGTGTATAAAGGAGTGCTGAGGGGATAGGAGAGCCAGGCCCTTCAAGGACCTGTTTTGCCATCCCATAGGAGGGAGGGGATGGGGGCTGAGGCAGTGTTTGAGGGAGGGGAGGTGGAGAGGATCATCATGTCGTCCCCCCCCTCCCACTGTTTGGGGGCACCAATTCCTGGATACCTCCCATCACATGACAGGGAAAAAGAAAGATCTCACATGACAGGGCTGGAAAGATCCCACTTATGGGATGCAGTCTGATAATCCACAGAAATTGTGAGGGATGAACAAGTGGTTTTAATGAGAGGGATCTTACGCGGCAGTGCCCTCCTGAACTTGGCCAGACTTCCCTTGACCTAGGCTGGCTGTCCAACCTATTATGGGCAGCTTTTCCTTGCCAGGTCTGGAAATGTAAGGCCTGTGGCCAAGAGTTTGCAGTGACCCTAGAGGAAGAGTTTCAAAATCCAAACACCAGATAAAAATGAATAAAAGCCTACCTTCTGTACAGGTATAGAAGGCCTAACGTGTGTGTGTTTGTGTGTGTGTGTGTATCCATCCTGTGGGCCATTGGGAGTCAGAAGGAAAGCCCATCTGCTGTTTAGAGCAAATGAGCATGCCAAAAGGAAAGATTCAGAGGTTCAGAGCCAAATGGGCAACGCCAGGCCAAACGTCACATAAAAAAAAAAAAAACTAAAAGTGATCATGAAAATAAAAACCCTTCTAAAACTTTTAAAGGCCGCAATTTTCAAATTGCATGTTTGGGTAACTATTTTGCGTATGAAAAGGGTGCAAAAGGGAAGTTAATTGAAACTTGTTTAGACATTGTTAAAAGTGACATCTAAGTTCCACTAAGGATATTAAATATTATATAGGTGTCTTCCCTGCAGATATTTAGCAGGGAAGTTTATTTATTCTCTTGCTTCTACTTTTAAGGGTAAAGTAAACTTCACGAGAAGCAAAATAGTTTTCTATCTCATTGGGTTTGTACTTTGGTTCATTTTAGGCCAAGGGCTGCTGGGAATTCTGAGTTGTGGGACTCACCGTAGGAAAGGCTGACCTAACTACAGCTCGACTTATGACCCCAATCGAGCCCAAAATTTCTGTGGCTAAGTGAGGCGGTCGTTGTGAGTTTCCCCCCATCCTATGACCTCCCTTGCCATAGTTGTTAAGTGAGACACTGCACTTGTTAATAACACAGTGGTTAAGTGAACGTGGCTTTCTTTTGACTTTGCTTGTCAGATGGTCGCAAAAGGAAATCACATGACCCTGGGTCACTGCAATCTGTCATAAATATGAGTCACTTGGTAAATTTTGATCACATGACCAAGGGGAAGGCTGCATAAGTCGACGGTGTGAAAAATGATCACAAGCCACTTTTTTTCAGGGGTATTGTAACTTCGAATGGTCACTAAATGAATGATTGTAAGTTGAGCACTACCTGTATTGTGAGAAGTGCTTCTTTATTATTTAACTGTCTGCAGTATTGGTGTTACTGTCACGGATAGGCAGTGACATTCTCTCCTTTTTTTTCCTGTCTTTTTTTTATAATACACGTTAACTTACAGAAATTGCGCCCGTGCATTTTGTTGGTTTTATCGATTTGTTGTTTGGTTGATGGCTACAGAAGTCACCAGAGTAGCTTTTCCGATCACAGCCCCGTGGAAGGCTAGAGCCTTTGATTTGTATGTCTGGGCGTATATATAAATATAGATACGCACAGTAATGTTGATGTGCCAGACAACACGTTGATTTAATTATCTGTAAATTGATGGGCTCTTCCTAGGTGGCTTTAACTGCCCCCTGTGACTGGCAGCCCCACATATGAGGGGCTCTTCCTAAGAGGAAAAATGGATTGCTCCTTAAACGTCCCTTCCCAGTTGTGCCTTTGATTTAATGGTGGACCTTCCGTCAATAATTCTCTGCGTTAAGGAATTAGACCGATCCTGTAGACTTAACGGGAAGTTGATCTATAGCGTTGTAGTCTTCCTTCTTTCCTTGGGTTGTTGGGTTATGGATGGCATCCGTTGTTCCATATTATGGAAGAAGACTTGCTGTCAGAATTTAAAAGAAAAAAAAAATATCAGCAGTCTACTGTATTTAGCAGTCTTTTGTGACAAATTGGTGTTGCGGGTGGCAGGGCCCCCTTCCTTGTTGGTGACCTTTCCATTCTACAACCCATTCTCTATTATTTATTGGGTCTCTATTATTTACTGGGATGAAAGCAGCAACTCGAACGTAACTCCTACAAATCCAAGGGGATATTAAAAAAAAGAAAAACTTGTAAATTAGACAACGGTTCCATAACTTGGTAGAATGAATCTGTTGGGCCCTCATTATCCCTACAGTGTGTTAGGCTCCCTTGTTCGTAGTAATGCTTACCACTCTGAGTCTTCAACCGCTGATCTCGCTGTAGAAGCAAATAATAAATGCAAACATTTACATGTTGGTCTTATGAAAAAAAACAAAAACTACCCTCAGTCCTTTGATCATGTTTTATCATGGCTTCTTAGTGGCCTGCCTCTAGGGAGGTGGTGTTACTATGATTATATTGCTGAGACCACTCAAGCACAAGGACTGAGCATGGAGGGAGATAGCATACAAGGCATAAGTAGGGATGTGTTAGAGTGAAGTATAAATGGACTCAGAAAGGAACCTGAAAAGTGTGTGTGTGTGGGGGGGGGGGGGGGTTTTGGGCCCTCCCAGAAGGAAAAGGAAGGGGGGGGGGGGGGGTGCTGCTCAGGGGAGATGGAAGGATAGGAAAAGGATGAGGAAAAACAAGAGCTTTTCAGTCTGTAGAGCTTCTCAGTCATATCCAGGTCATGGTGTTGCCCCAAAGGTGCTTTTTCAAGAAGCAACTGGACTTCCTTTGTTTTTTTCTTTTGAAGAGGTTTCACTTCTCATCCAAGAAGCTTCTTCGACTCTGACAGGATAGTGGATAAATAATAGGATAGGCAAATCCTTCCCTTCCCCCACCATTCTGCCAGAGATGAAGAAGCTTCTTGGATGAGAAGCGAAACATCCTCAAAAGAAAAAAAACAAGAAAGAGTTGCCCCTTGAAAAAGCACCTTTGGGAGCTTTTCAATCGCATCTCCGCCTCGGTTTTCTCTCCAAGGAGGACCTTAACTTCAGCTGAACCGTTGATCTAAGGAAGGGAGGGCAACCTCTAGTTAGTAAATAAAGAGAGGATTAAGGGCTGATTGGCTAGCAGGGATGGCTTTTATGTCTCCAGGACAGGCCATGTAACATCCAAGAGCTCATCACTGTGTTTTGGGGGAAATCCTGGGAGTGGGCATAGCATCAGAGGATTAGACTACACAGGGTGGGGGGGTGGGGGGAGAGCCAGCTGACTTTATAGGACTATATAGTCCTGGTCCACTGGATGTTACCAGACAAAACTCAGATTACGAAGGCGTTAGATTG